GATAGCGTGAGAGAACGGCGGGGGCTGTGGCCTGCAGTTCCGAACGCGTCAGCCAACGGTCAGCCTTGTGGCTGTAGTAGGAAAAGTGAAGTAGAAACTCTGTTTCTTTGTTGCCATGGCGCCGGTCGGTGATGATGTAGCCGGCCTCCTGACATCCGTCCATGGAAGGAGGGTCTTGCGTACGTCGACCGGGAAACTCGTCGGACTCCGCTGAAACAAAAGGAGCGAGTTTGGAACAGTGGAACACAGTGTGGACGGGCAAGTGAGGTGGCACCACGATGCGGAATGAAGGCCCCTCGGGATCATCACCAACTGCAGAGAGAATGCACCAAGGCCCCATCCACTTGGGAAGGAGCTTGCGGGAGATGTCTTGCTCAAGGCTGAACTCCGCGGCGGAGACCCAAACCAGATCGCCGGCACGGAACGGGCAAGGAAGGCGATTGCGGTTGGTTTGACGGCTCATCCGGATTTGCGTCTTTGACATCTGATCCCGTGCCTTGACAAGAAGCTCTTGCATGCGACGAAGGAACGCAAGATGGTCGTCGCTCTCGGTTGTGCGCGGCAAAGTGGCGTCCAGCGGCGATGAGATGGGTGAACCATGCTCAAACTCGAATGGCGACATCCCGATAGCCGGATGGATGGATGAGTTGTAAGCCAACTCAACGTCTAGCAAGCGCTCAACCCAATCAACCTGGTCGGGACGGATGAGGGTGCGTAGAAGGACTTGAGCGGTCTGATGCGCCCTTTCCGCTCAACCACTCCCAAGTGCGTAGAAGGACTTGAGCGGTCTGAGCGGTGACGCGACCTGGGGGCCCTATTCCAACCTCGGGTCCCGTGAGGGGCCCGTGTGTAGGCTTTCGGCATGTAACATTAATGACGAGGAAGTATCGGAGGAGGAGAAGGCGGCGACGGAAGAAGAGGGAGAAGAGGAAGAGGTCGATGACTGATGTAGTAGAAGATGTCGCTGTGGGTTGTGGTGATGATGATGATGGTGGTGAAGGTGATGATGGTGGCGGTGATAGCATTGGGGGCCGAGAGGCGGGGGTGGGGTGGTAGTGGTGGTGGAGGAGCTGCGGTGGTGGCGGCGGCGGCGGTGACGGTGGCAGCAGCGGCAGCAACAGCGAAGGAGGCATACTTTTGGCAGTAGTCGCCATATTGGTAGGACGCTGGCCTTCATCCCTTGCAGTCACTTTGGTAACGTTTGCATTGTTTATTGCGGCTGGCATGGACTCCAGCTGAGTTGGCGTATCCACATTAGTGTTTGCCATTTCAGCAGGAATAGCAGGAGAGGGTAGGCCTGCTTGGTTGTGTGGAGGGCTGATGCTGGCTGGTCAAAATTGGTGTTGGGCAGTGGGTGGTGACCCATTGCGTGCGGTTGTGTGGAGGACCTGTGCACAAAATTAGCACTTGGGAGTGGTTGAGCGATTGCCCAGCGCAACATGCGGCAAAACCAATCTTGTTGTTAAGGATCCTGTCGTGTGGCAGGCTCATGTACATTGTTGTAAAATCCGTTGTATGAGGTGTACAACCTCGAAGGGATTTTGCACTCTGCTTGAGATCCAGAATGACTTCCTCAACACTTTGCATGATCCGGAAATGCTGTACACCACTTTCTTGATAAAGCTTATTGTTCTTACAGCACAGGGACTTGATCACGCTTTGGAGAGCCTAGCTAAGTGAATGAGAGACCATTGTTGTACTTGCACGAGGCTTATGAGGGGGCCTGTTGTGCAGATTCGAGACTGAAGGTTGTCGAGGTGTTGTGCAAGGTGCAGATCGGGAAAGGTTGTTTCGCCTAGTAACTCCAAAAGTTGGACGAACGGCGGGTGGAGATATGTGTGCTTTGAGCGCAAAGTAGAGATAAGGCAGGGGTTAGTAGGTCGATAGCGTCAATGTTGGTTGAAAAGTGCATGACGTTCGAGGATGCTAGTCACCGACTCTCGTGCTTGATTTGTAGGTGGGACTATCAAGGTGCTGTGGTAACTTATACGCATACCAGCACTTGCAGCAGATTGCCATGTTCTGCGATGCTTTATCGACAGCTATTGTGGCAAATCGCTGCTGTAGCTGCTGAAGAGATGTGTTGGCAGCATGTGAAGCAGCCTGAGTAGGTGCTTGGTACAGTGACGTAGGAAAATTCTGTTGGCATCTTGAAAGAATTGTTGTGCGCCATTTGCGCGGCTGAGAGTGGTTGCTATAAACTTGGCAATATAGACTGGGCTTCAAAGCTTTCATCACATTTGTGGTGTCAGCATTGAGGCAGTACTTGGAGCCTTCAAAGAAGAGAGCCCGCAAGTGTGTGTCTTGTGTAATGTAGTAGTCCAATGTGGCCACATGACCATCAACAGTGTCTGCACAACGTGAAAATGCTTGTCGACAAGGACAATTGCGACAGTCTGGAGGAGGTGTATTGCTTGTTATGTAGAGTGCCACTTCGGTAGAACGCTCTGTAATTGTGCGGTGCGAGCAACCTGATGCATGTGCATGACCTTAATGAAATTTAAGAACGGAGCCCTATCATGTGCAGGGCTGGAGTACAGCCGGCGTGGATATTGCAGATCACGGATCATGCATTCCAATTGACGAATGTTCGCTGTGAGATCGGAGTTTGAGACATTTGTTTGCAACCATTGCAGCAAGCGAGAGCGCCAGGCAGAGGTGGCTTGGGAGAGGGTACAAGATATGGATTGCCATTCTGAATTGGCTGCTTGTGTAAGCATGCGATGTACGGCCGAGCGGACAGCATAGAATGGACCTGGGGTAGCGTCCATCATGAAGGGTCTGTCTGCAAGAATTTGTGCTGCAGGGCGAGTTGTAGAAGGAAGATTTGGGCTACCGCTCCAACGAATCCACCTGTTTGAACGATGAGATCGTCTGGCAGGCAGTAATCGTCCTTGTGGGAGGAGGCTGTTGAAGCCCCAAGGGTATAAGGTGGTCAGGCGCCGAACCCAAAACCGTTCACGAGGAGTGGCCGTGTGCTTAAACGATTCGCGGGATCGATGGAACCATCAGCGTTCAGATAGAGATGGGGGTCTATGCACTCCAGGGGCCAGACAATTAAATGAAATGGAGGTTGCTTAGCCACAGAGTGATAGAGATGACGGTGACATGAGTGAGTCGTCTGAGATGAATAGCGGGAATGCCAGTGCTGTTGTAGCTGGCGGTGACATTAGTGAGTCGTCTGAGCGAGCGGAGTATGTGGTTTGTACCAACATATGTCCGACCCGATTGTATGTGAATAATAGCATAGGAGTTGAAAAAGCATCCATTCCAGGTTGAATGGGGCTCTGATAGATGCCTTGTAATTGCAGTTCGGATTTTTCCGTTCGGGCTGCAGTTGGCACATAGTGGGGTCGCTTTTTAAACCGATGCCCCGCATCATAGACATTACTGTTCCAGTCATGATGTGCAACCCAGTCAACTCTATTAGACTGTCGTGCAGCGTTGGTGAGAGGAAGAGTGAGGGGGGGTACCATAGAGAGGATCATAAGCAGGACACGTAGTTTGTGTCACGCCACCGGCACGGGAAACCCCGCTCAAATCCCTGCCCTGATTCTCACGTTGTATCGTCGACATCATTGGTAAAATATTTCTCAAAATCCACAAACTCTGCTTTCTAGAAAGGAACAGGTTTGTAAGACATGGTCCACAAGAAATAAAAAACAGAGAACGTAGTGTAAGGGTAAATTTATGGTCCAGGGTTTGGGGAGGGTTTTAGGCCCGTCGGCTCTGCACCGGGAGGCTGCCGACATCCCTTGCAGGGCACTCACTTCAAAGTTTCCCAAGCGATGGCTTGGCTAGTATGCAGAATGCCTCCACTTGTGAGAGTGCTTGTTTGAGGAGGGTTTTAGCCCCGTCAGCTCAGCGCGGGGAGGCTGTCGACGTCCCTTGCAGGACACACTCACTACAAAGTTTCCCAAGTGATGGCTTGGCTAGTACACAGAATGCCTCCACTTGTGAGTGTGCTCTGGGCAAGCGCTCTAGACGCCGGGCACAGCAGGACTAGCTCTTCTGTTAGGAAGGAGTGTCCGATCATCATCTGGACCTCTGTGTACGAGGTTTATGTCAAGGCAAACATCCTGCAAGGGTGAGATGCGTAGTACTCTGCCCCTTAGTCCATGCCATCAGGTGAGGAGCTAACTATACTCACTGCGCGGAAGGAAAGGGCAAGAAACCACGCCCTTACGTTGACTGCCACCACAGCAGCAGCTAAGTGAATGTGCACATCCAGCTCCCCCCGCAGCTGAGGTTACAGGATGGTGCTACCCATCCCAGCATGAGCCCGACGTCCTCCACAGTGCAAGCACGGATTAGAACCGGCGGCCTCGGCCTCAAGAGCCAGGTATCTTAAGCACTACAGCCAGGACACGGTGTTCAAAAGTGGACCCATACCGGTGGTGATATCCGCCCCACCCCTGCAAGGCTGTAGTGTCCAACTCAACACACACCACACACACCACACACACCACACACAACACCACACGGACACGGCGATTCTCGCGCACCTCGCTCTCTCCAATCAGCACAAGGACATGAGCTTTTGAAGCAAAACCGAAAGGTCAGTCACATAGACAAGCCAAAAGCAATATAGTCAGTTCAATTGACGTCAGTTTCAACTCATAACATAACGAAATCATAGCACCGAACGAGACAGACAACGGACTCAAGGCAGACTCACATTTCTGGGTGGACAAGTATCAATGCAGCGGTACATGTTAGTCTACCATAGTAGGAGAAGTCCTTGCATTTATCCAGGCCAAGCACGTTGAATAATCAGAAAATGTGGTTGTCAGAAGCCTTAGGAAACACAACCAGCTTACCGTAAGTGTGACCTGCGAGTGCAGCTCCGATCCTAGCTGCTCAATCCACAAGAGCGGAGAGCTAGCAAGACCAGAACGTGTGTTTAAATTTCTAACCAGATGAGTAGATTCAGAATCGAAGCAGCTTTTGTCCTATTGCAGACCATGAGAGCACTTGAGTTGAGACTGTGCAACGATTAAGCAATTTTGCAATTAGGCAATTGTACCTCTTTAGCAAGAACCATGGAGCATAATAGAACCGTTGAAGACTCTGTATGCTTTTGGTTTTCCTTGAGGTAGCCCTTCTCTCTCTCTCTCTCTCTCTCTCTCTCTCTCTCTCTCTCTCTCTCTCTCTCTCTCTCTCTCT